GATTGGGGTTTCCCCAAAAAAAGTTTTGGTAACCGCTGTTACCAAAACTTGTTACCAGATGTTTCAAAACGGTGAACAACTTTTTTTCCACCAAAAAATAATTATCAATTTTGTTATCACAGTGAAAATCATCTCAAGGTAAGGATTTTTTTCTGTGTTTCAATTATATCAAAAACTTACAAGGATTAAAGTTATATGCTCACAATATGCCATAAATAATATGGCTTTTATGTAAATACATGTAATTAAAAAAAAAAAAGACTGAGAGGGGTAATACCAAACAAAAATGATGGGGTAATGGCGGTCGTTTGCAATTTTTTTAAAACTTATATTTCACTCAATTTTAAAAATCTGTAACTTATATACATGATATCTAACAAGTTTATAGTTGGATTTGAAGAAATAACGAAATTTCTCAACTTTTAGTTCCAAAGATATTTCAATTGCCGCTTAAGTGGTCCCTACCTTGCCATACACTATGCAATAATATTTTGTAAGCTATCTACATATTATAAAATAGTATGGTTTAACACGTTTTCTTACACACCGAGCTGGGCCATTTCTGTAGGCAATAAAACAATAATTTAGAATTACAATAAAATTGTACAAAATTTGAATTTTAATATCAACTTTGCCCAAAATGGCACCGCAGTGCACAATTCTACCTCCGGCCAATTTACTATATTATTTTAATAATGTTTTATAAACTACACAATATTATTTTATTTGAAATTTTTATCTTTATTATTTTTTTTTTTTGTTTTTGAGGGATTTGGCTTCATAGAATTAAAACGATTATGTTTTTTTAATGTTGACAGCGTTTGTCACGTGCTCAACACTATAAAATTATAAACTCACAAAAAAAAATGGTCTTGCTTATATTTATTTTTTTTTTTTGAAAATTCCGAGTATACAAACTTCCCATATCTCGATATAATAATAATTATTATAAAACTAAATCAATGTCCTCCACGAGGGTTTTGAACTGGCAACCCAAAACGGTCTGTTCATTATTCGAGGAAAAGCTGTATTATAAAAATGTCAATATAATATTTTGTTTTCCCTCATCGTTTATATTATATTTTTATTCCGCATTAACCTACCAAACCAATGGTGTTTTATATGGAATAATTTTAATTTTAGGTCCCTTATAAAACTTGGAACGTTTCAAATGGACCGAATAATTTTATTCCAAGAGTTTTTCAGAATACCTATTTGTATATCTATATTTGTTTATTATTAAAATAAAAAAAAGTTTTGTATAGAGAAAAAATAATGTATTTATCAACAATAAAGTGCTGAGAAAAAGTTGATTATTTACAAGTTTATTTTTTTTAAGGTGAACAAGTTCTTACAAACATTATATTTTACTCGGAAGTATATACAAAGACACTAATAAAAACACATGTACAACTTTTGCAATTAAACCTCACACTATTTATACTTATTTAGACGTTATTAATAAATATCAAAACTATGTCTTTAAGATAACGTTTTACCGATTTTGAAGGAATAAGAATATATGTCGTCTCTCTTCCTTCTGGTTTTTAGGAATATCCTCTTAGTTTTCGTCTAAAGATTGACAGAGTTGTACATATATATAATATGTAAAAAAAATAGTACTATCTAGTTTTTATTTTTTTGATACAGTTATGGATTTGAAAATGTCCTTATTCTTCCAGGTTTTACAGAAAGAAAATCATATTTTTCTTACCTAAAAATCCGTATTAGTCATTATTTTAATTAAAATTATTTTTTTTTTGTAGAGCTTTTCAATAAACCGTTAACATTAACTAGTTTATTACAGAATTTTATTCCAATTTTTTTTTTAAATATAATAGTTAGAAAAAATACATTTTAAATAAAGAAATTACTATCTACCAGATGTTATTTTTTTTTAGATAATATAATATATTTATAAACATTTTTACTAATTTTCATCCACATTCCTGATAAGCTGTATAGAAAAATTATGTTATCCTTTTTTAAAACAAAATTGGCCATTGAACGGTTAGATAACTGCGTTTTGGTGTTTTTGACTTGATGGAATTTTTCATAGCTGTTTTAGTCACCAATTTGATATTAAGTATTGCCACCAAAAATGTTAGAACCAAACTAGGCGTAGTATAATAATTATTGTTTACAGTACACTGTTGGCAACACTGTAGTTGATAATATAATATATTGTATTAGGTTGTGCGTGTCTCCACTTTTTAATACTATGCCATAATAATATGGTTTTGTGTTTGTAATAATTTACTAAAATGTTAATAAAGTAACATTGTTTAAGAGTGTGTTATATTGTCTTGTGAAATTATTAATTTTTATTAAATAATATACAAAACAATTATTACTGTTACTTGCAACACTCTTTGTGTGTTCTTCGCCACTAAACTTGTCTTCTCCTATTTGGCAAATGGCGTTCATTGTGTGTAACAATACTATAGTAATATTTTACCTTTATATTATTATTATTACCGTTATTTTTGGACTTTTAGGACGACAAAACGCGGTTGTGGGGACATCAACGAACGTACACAAAATGTATGAGGTAGGTATGCGGTTATATTTTATTATCGAATAAAAATTTGCCTGAGCAAAATACAAAATTCACAATTCCAAGACAAAAAAAAAAAATTACATTATGATAAATACATATCGTGTGTGTGTGTGTTTATAATAATATAATAACACGATTATATATGTATATATATATTAATGATAATGAATACTTTATGTATACATGTATGTATATATTATAATCAAAATTACTACAATCAATTATTCCTACAGAAAAAGTAAAAGAAGAAGTATAGAAATTAATTTTAATGTTTTTTTTAAATACCTATATACTAAACGAGAGAGTATTTGATATAATAATAATAATAATAATATAATCCTGCATATAGACGCATTTTATTTATCTAGTAATAATAAGTAAAATAATTATGTTATTGTTTTTAAAAAAAAAATTGACAAACAATATATTATTTATATGTATATATTCGGAAAAGACAGTCGTTTTTTTTTTTTGGGAGCGAGTGATAATATAATATCATATTAGTTTATATTATTTTTCTACTTATATATTATTATTACAACATCTACAAAACATCACAAGTATACACAAAACATAAGTATATTATTATAGTAGACTGGGCCGACGGTTTGTATAAAATAATATACCTAATTGAAAGATGACCGCCGTCAAAAAAAAAAAAAACATCATAATATTGAAAAAATGATATTGTTTTTTTTTTTCAATTTAATACAACAATTTGAATTTTATAAAACACTCAAGTTTCACCACCTTTAGCTCATGGCCGACAGAATCCTACGTTAAGAATTGTATATTTATAATTGCCTATATAAATTATAATAAGAAACGCGACAAGGCTTTTATTATAATATAATATAACAACATTTTTGGTAAAACTTAATATGATTTATATTTTTCTAAATATTTTTTTATTGGTCAGTTAAAAAAAAAAAATGTTTTACCCGTATTTTTTCCTAGCAAGAAGTCTATACAACACACAATTCGAATATAAGATTTGATTATAAATAGTATATATATACCGTATATATATAAATATATAGGTAGTAGTTGTATTGATTATAGAAATAAAAAACAAGATTGTTTATTAGATGTTTTGGCGTAAAGAAAAGAGTTTAAAAAAAAAGAATTATGTTAATTAGTTTAAAAAAAAAAAATGAAAATTTACAATACATTTTACTAGAATATTATTTATAATTAATTATGTATATATTAAATTATAGTCATACAAAAAAAAAAAAAAAATTAATAAAAGAAATTTAAAAACAATAATAACAAAATACCAACATGTAATTGTTCTAATTCAATATATATTATAATATTATTTATCATCATTATCGTTATTAAAATCATTATTGTTTTCGAGGTAGATATAGGTATAATTATTGTTATTATTTTTTTTAAGCCATTAAAAACGGTTTTTACTAATTAACAACGATTTCATAATATTTTAGGAACATTGAAAATGCAAAATATATCATTATTCAATTTTTTTTTCTTCTTATAAATCTCCTTAATTTAACAAAATCGTATCATATAATATAGTATCATACCGTTTTTAGAGAATACAATATAATATATATAAATATAAAATATCAATGCGTTCCTATATAAATTAATATTATGTTGGTTTTTTAATTGAGTTTTTATTTTATTAATTTTTTTTCTTTGTACAATACAGATATTTAAAGAGATCCAAAATCAGTACATTTTATTAACGTCCGTACGGTATTACATATATATATATATATATTATATATAAATACATATAATACACATACGACGAAGACAGTCAATATTATATTTACACGTATATATAAATATAATAATAATAATAATAATTAAAAAATAATTAAATATTCTTAAAACAATAAAATAATAATAATAATAATAAGGAAAAATGTATGTAATTGATTTTGACCGATTGGATAAAAAAAGTATTTTTCACTATTAATTAATTAATTTTAAAAAAACAAGAAGTAATAATATTATTATTTAGATACAACAAATGAGCGTTGAACACACGTTATCAAACCTATATATATATATATATATATATATATATCTACACACTAAGCTTTTTGTAAACACAATATTATAATTATTATTTCTTTAAATTAAATTTAAAAAATAAATAATTAATACATATAATAATAATTAAATATATATATATTTGGTCCTCGGCGGGTCGACCGAAGAGTACATATATAAGTCGACGCCACCTTTGGATTTACATTTGTACTGTTTTCACGTTGTTTTTGTTATCGTTTTTAAAATTTAAATCTAATTACACAGGCAAGGGTTATATATTATAATATGTATGTATAATGTGTATATATTAGGTGGTAGTATTATAATTAATTAATTAATAATATTATAATATATTATGCTTAACCGTTAAATATACAAGGCATACATAAATGAGGTAGATGATTTCCACGAGTTTTTGTTTGGTTTTATTTTTTTTTTTTTTTTAGAATAATTATAATATATTTTTTTTAATAATACAACATTATTGTTTTATACGAATTCGTAAGTATAAGTCGATTTTTTTGATTTTTTTTTCTTCAAAAATATGCTTAAGCGCGCGTCGCTCTTGCCATTATTGTTATATTATTATTACCTATACACAAATTGTATCAAATTCCAACTCTTATTTCAAGTACACGCGGACACACACACTAATTGTTGTAATGTAAGTGTGATTATTTAAAAAAAAAAAAAAAAAAAGGTATATGATGTTTTAGGCCTATTTTCTCAATATGGTCCTTAGGGGTGTGTTTGTTCCTTCGGCTTAGCACAAACGGACAGCACTGCAGTAGTTAACGGGGTTGGGGGGGGAGGGGCTTAATTGTTATTTACTATATATAAAGTACCCGTATAAGATTTCATATTTATCTAAAAAAAATAAAATAAAATTATAATTAATAAAAAAAACAGCGTAATTCGTTTTTTCCCCGTTCCCATTGTGTGAATGAGAGATGAAGTACACCAGGCGGCTTGTTCTACTTGTGTACAATCATATTATCATTGTTATTACATATTACTAAACGTGGGGCGCGAATTCTAGATATTATACTAAAATAAATAATGATGTATAATAATAATAATAATATAGTATCTGTTGAAGAAAAAAAAAACGATAAACCCCCCACAAATTCCCAAGAAAAAAAATATAATAACCTCTAGAATATCTCCTCTCAATTATTCGGTTTTGGTAAATGAAACGCAAAAAAAAAAAATCACCTTAAGGGTTTTTTTGTTATTTTTTTTTTTTATCACAGATACTAAAAAAAAAAGAATGTTTTTTTTGTTTTAATCGCTAACAAATAAATAATTAAAAAATACTATTATTACATGGTAATAATAATAATAATATCGTACTTTGACTACTTAAGATGGGTAAAGATATCGAAATAAAAGTAAAAACAAAAAAAAAAAAAAGTCAAAATGAGGTATTACATTGTAGTTTTGTTGGCGTAATGTATGACCGAACTGTATCTGCACTGGGCCTCCTTCTTGGCTGTCTCCATCGACTTCAGTATCATCTTGGAACGTTTGCGCGGCGGCAGGCTCAGGTGTCCGCGGTCGTCGGCCGCCACGGCCACCACCGATGGCACGTGGTGGTGGTGGTGATGGTGGTCGGCGGACAAGTAAACGTAGTGCGGGTGTTGGACGACGACGGGCGGCAGTTGGTGGACGCCGTGGATGGGTGCGGCGGGCGGCGGCGACGGCAACGACGAGGGCGGCGACGACTCGTCCATGGTGAGCGTCATCGAGCACGAGCTGCTGGCCGGGCTCGGCTGGTCGCAGTAATCGGCCTGTCCGTCGTCGTAACCGTACTGGACGGCGGCGGCGGCGTTGAGGTTTGCCGCGTTCGCGTTGGCCGTCGTCACGGTGGTCGCGTTGTACGCCCCGTTGGGACCGGGCAACCGCGGGTACAGGTACTGGCACAGCTTGGTCAGTTCGGTGTCCACGTCGTTGCCGCGGCGCCGCTGGTCCGGCCGGCGGTCGTCGTAAGCGGCGGTGGCGGCGGCGGCGGACGACGGCGAAGCCGCTGACGACGCACGGGCGTTCTCGAGTTCGGTGACGGCGATGGACGCGGCGGTACCCGCGGCGGCGGCCGCGGGAGATGTCGCGGAGGCCGCGGCGGCCGGCGGAGACAACAGCAGGCGGCCACCGTCGATGTCGTCCAGCAGCGACAGCTTGTTCTCCTTGTCGCTGCCGCCGTACGACGACGACGACGTCTCGCCCGCGTCCGAACCGGCGCGCAACGTGTTTGGGCTGACGGCGGCCGTTTGGTTGGCACCGTTTTCCGAATGGCTCTTGATGTGGTTCTCCAGGGTCTTCTTGGACGTGAACGTGTCGTTGCATATGGTGCACTTGTACACCTTTTCGCCGTAGTGCGACACCTGATGCAGCTTGAGCACGTGGTTGTAGCCGAACGACTTGCCGCATATGTCGCACGAGTACGGTTTTTCGCCGGTGTGCGTGCGCGTGTGCACCTTGAGCTGTTTGGAACACGTGAACCCCTTGTCGCACGTCTTGCACACGTACGGTTTTTCGCCGGTGTGCGTGCGGATGTGTATGACCAGCTGACCGCTCTGTATGAACGTCTTGTCGCAGAACGTGCACTTGTGCGGCCGTTCGCCCGTGTGTATCCGCATGTGCCGGTGCAGCTTGCCGCTGTGCTCGAACGCGCGGTCGCACACGTCGCACTTGTACGGCCGCTCCTTGGTGTGGATGCGCCGGTGCACGCTCAGGTTCTCCTTGACCGAAAACGGTTTGTCGCAGTACTCGCACTTATACGGTTTTTCGCCGGTGTGCGTGCGGTAGTGCCGGGTGAGCCGGGCCGGCACCGAGAACGACTTGCTGCAATAGTTGCACTGGAACGGGCCCTCGACGGCCGCGTCTTTGACGTGAGATCGCAGGTGGTTCTGGAACGCGGTCTTCTGCACGAATACCTTGTGGCACACGTTGCACTGCAACGACGCCACCACCGCCGCCGCCGCCGCCGCGGACTTGTCGGCCGCCGACGTCGCGGACGCCGTCACCATGCCGCCGGCGGTACCTCCTCCTACTCCTCCTGTCGACGAGTCGATCACCGCTTCCTCGACCACGGGCGTGATGGTGAACACGGGCAAGTCGGGACTGCACACGACGCGCTTTACCGACGCCGCGTTGCCGCCGCCGCCACCGTCGACGCACGGCCGTTCGGACCCGGCGGCCGCCTGCTGTTGTTGCGCAGCCGACGACGACGACGACGCCGCCGACGTGGAAGTCGACGGTTTCAACGGGCTGATGGTACAGTCGATGCCTACGCGAGCCAAGTCTGCCGATCCGCCGGTGGCGCTCAATATCGGCATTTCTCCATTGATGAGCTCCACCATTTCTGACACATGCCCCAATACGCTGTCTGTGAACATAAACCAAAAACCGACAAGAGGTTAATAATAATCGTTACCACCTTTGACCAGATTTGGTAGTGCAAAAACAAAAAAAGCGTCTCTTCTAAGTACAATATAAAAAACATGTAATACTATTACACATTGAAGGCGGCCCATTGATGTGTAAACATCTTAACGCGCGGTTTTTTTGGGTAGGAGTAAATTTGTGCAAATACCGGAAATGGGTAACGGAAGTAGAACTGACGGAGGTGAATTTGACCGGTAAACGGAAGTAAACGTTTCGGACAATGCCTCGCCAATCTGTACATTGCCTTGACGGAAACAACACAAATATGATTGATGTGACACAGATGTGATTAATTTGTGACAGCTTGCGAAGAAATGACAATGTAAAGTAATATACTAGAAAAAACACACACACGCTGAACCAGTTTTGGCAGATTTCTCATAAAACGGGCTAAAATTTGTTTCAATACAATATTAATGTAATATTGTCATCGCCTAACGCGGCAAGGGTTAAGTTGTTTTTATCGAATCATTTTATTGTTATTACAATGTAAAAATGATAATATTATAATAGTTGTATTGTACAAGAAAATTTGTTTTATACAAGTAAAAGGTTAAGTAAAACGAACAAGTAGAATAGAATAGAAAATCAGAACTACACTCAGTATGATATTTTATACATTATAGGATCGTGACTTAAATTGAACGGGTAATTGTTTAATAAAAAATAAATACAAATAGATTACAAAGTTAGAAAAAAAAATACATTTAGGCCGTAACGAAACAATTAAAATGTTTTCGTCGAATATAATTGGTGTACACAATTGTACTTAATACAAGTGTAAATTAAAAGCACGGACAAGTGCGTGACGCAGTGCTGTGAGATGCTCGTTTTCTACACTTTTGCCGTGCACAGACGAGAGTGGTCGGATATTTTGACAAAATAACCATTCTCACATTCTCTGCGGTGGTTAATCAGTGGAGATTTTAACGTCAACTTCAGTACACAAGTAGAGAGCGTCGCGGTAAAAGCCCCAAAAACAAAAGCCCCAAAAAGGTTTTCGGCAGCTAGGCGTAGGGTGGTTTTGTATGTAACATATGTTGTTTACAACGGGACGAGCGAAAACACCACCCCTATATGCCGGGGGGGGGGGGGGCGGGACAAGGTCGTCCCGCATCGAGTCGTTATTACCGGGAAAACCCATCATCGTCCTATGTGTGTCACACAAGGTGGAAAAAAATCACCGTCGTTTGTTTTGTATCCGATGACGACACAACACAGCCGCGCGTCGTCCATTTGATAAATTAAAAAACGACCGAGCGCACAAGTAGTGTAAGTACATTAAGTAAGTACATTAAGCAAGTCAAGTACGATCGCCCGGCCTGGAAATATGTCACGCCGATTAATTAAGTTAATGCGCTGCAGACGGTTTTGCGCACACACTCTCCGCGTTAACTTCGGCGTGTTATCCAAAACGGGGGGGGGGTCTCTTTTGAGAAACAGAAAAACCAAAAACCAAAAAAATACGCCAATCCGCACTCGACGCACCGATGACCGTGAATTGCCTACACGGTGCGCCGTCCGATGCCGGCAAGATGGCAAACCGTTTTTTTTTACACGAACCTGCTTACAATATATTAACTATGTTTTATATTAAAAAAATATGCCACACACAATATTGAATACGAACGCCGTTTTACAATAACTCTAGAAGGGCGAGGGGTAGGGTAGGTGCCTTTACTACTACCACCGTTTGTGCACGCTCGAGAGCGGCAAACGAGATTTAATTATTATCAGGACCTAGGGGGGCCTGGGGGGGTGGATAAGGGGAGTGTTTACGAACAATAATATTGTAAAAACGACAGCAGCAGCGACAAGACGACAAAAGCCAGAGATTATTATTGTTATTATAATATAATTTTAACCCGTTCGGCGCGCGGCCGACACACGGTTTTGTGTGTGTCCAGTTGAAAATTGTAAAAAAAAAAATGATATATAATGTAAAAAACGACAAGACGGCGGCCAAGGGGGGGTTGCCGGGGAAAATTCCAGCGTAAGTACGGGGCTGCGGTGGTAGTTTCTCGACCGTCGCTTTCTCGACGATTATTATTATTATTATTATACTCTCCGTTTTGTTTTGTTTCTCGCCAGCGCCCGGATAGGTCTCCTTAAAACAACACACACACAGCGAGAAACAACGTTGCTCATCCTCCCCTTCCCCTTCTCCTACTTCTTCTCCTCTTTCTCATCCTCCTAGTCCGTGATCTTATCCCGAGAGACAAAATGCCCAAGACACACCAAACACACAGATTATTTTTCAAAATTATTTCTCTGTACACAAATCAACAACACATATATATATATATATAAACTTTTATATTAACGGTTGAAAATGAAAAAAATAAAAACCGCAAGTTTAAGGCGTTACACTTTATTAAGTTTTTTTTTATTACATTTTTCAACGGCTCAAGTTTAAGACGTTTGTGAACCGGTCCTACCTGACTTGGAGACGCCAAAAACAACAACGGTGCCAAGTCAGTCATTCGGTCGAATGGGTGGATATATATATATATATATGTGTTATATTAATTGCGGTAATAATATATTATATCGTTATACACTACTACAATATAATAATAATAGTCTCTACGACGACGGTCGTTGCAATCACGTTCAAGTCACCGGCACCGGCAAGTACAACGATATAAGTATAATAATATACATGTATAAGAATTTTTGACTCTCCAAAGCGTAAAAGCCCCCCCAAAAATTTTTTTTTTTTTATGTAAGAAAACTAATAAATAAAAATAATCGTGCGCGCAAAAACCGGTCGTTTAGAGACCACAAAATTGTTTTTTTTTTTTTTAATTATTTTTTTCTTCTTCTGTAAATCCGCATCCCGGCCCAAAATAACATTAAAAAATAGTTTTTTTTTTAAAAACGGTACTGCCCCGCCGCTTACCCTTGTCTTCTTTGGCGCTGGAACTCTTCAGGTTCAGCCAGAAATTCTTAATCCACTGTTTTTGCGTTTTATCCCAGAGCTGTGCCATCGTCGCGAGGCGCGCGTTCCATTCACAGGCGGGAACGGGGGCGGGCGGCCGGGGGACGGGGAGGTGCGAATTAAAAAATTATTTTTTAAATAGTTTGAAAAAAAAAAATAATAATAATAATAAAAATTTCCGAAACTTAAAACCCGAAAACGACGACTACCGGATGGCGGCGGACACGCGGTTAAAAAAAAAAAAAAAATTAATAATAATAATAATCCGACGCGAGTATAAACAACTAGAATTTGGGTTTTTTTGAATTTTGAATTTTGAAAACGGGGAAAGCGACCAACAACAGTCAACAGCCTACTGACTGACTGCGGCTGCGGCGGCAGCGGTCGTAGCGTTCCGCGGTGTCCTCTCTCGGTTTTCCGGCGGCACGTGTAACTCGCGGTGCGTTCAGTGAGTGTGCGTGAACCTAGCGGCGGCGGCGGCGGCGGCACCGCTCTGTCCGTCCTCCTCTATGCGTGGTGCGTAGTGGAGGTATATATATATAGATATACAGTGTGATGCAGAGCACACGGTGTTATATACGTGGGGGTCTCCCCCCGAAATAATAATATTCGGGCTTTGGCGGCGGCGGCGGTCGCGGCGGTGCGTACGTACGTGCGTGAGTGCGTGCGTGCGTGCGTGCGCGAGCGCCGATAAGAAAACACACCCGTCGACTGGATTCGAACGAGGCCGACCGACCGACCGACCGATCGCCGGACGACGCGCACGTGGGATAATAACTCTACATACTATCAAAAATATCCCAAGTCGAGTTACTACAACAACGTTATTATTATTATTATTATTATTATATTTATCCTCATACCGAGAGCCCCGCGTATCATCGTTGCTATTATTATTATTAGTGTGCAACAGTGCACTGGTATTGTATTGTAATAATATTATATAAAACCAACGTCCGTCTCCTCCTTTTCCTCCATCCCTATCCGCCCACACACACACACACCAAACACTTGCACTGGGCGGCGGGCCATTCATCCCGGTGGCCTTACCGATAGATAGATAGATAGATATAGAGTGGCGAGGAGGAGTAGGAGTAGGAATAGGAGTAGGCCCATAACAATAAACGTTAGGGGGGGAAACGAGAAATTAAAAAGTGGCGGCGGCGGCGGCGTTGAGGTCACCGCGTTGAGTCGCGCGCGGTCCGAAACGAAAAACCCATTTGTCCTTGTGTTGTGTTGCCGGCGAGAAACCGGCAATGGAAATGAAAAGAAAAAAAATGTTGACAAAAAAAAGAGAAACAACAACAACCGCGTCGGACGTCGACGACAATCGAAAGTATTTTCGACCGCCACCTGCCGGGCGAGCGCGTGTACCGACGATTCAGGGTTATTTTTATTTGGGGAAAATATATCACACACACATTGTTATATGAGAAGAAAATCGTACAAGATTGATCCGGAATGGCCGCGTGAGGAAGCCAACGTTTTCCGCTAACGACAGTGCGTTAACCCCCACGTTTGCAGCCGCCTCCAATAAGTCGGGCATTGGGGTCGACGACAACAACAGCAGCAGCAGCAGCAGCAGCAGCAGCTACTAACTACCACCACCACGGTGTATACACAACAATAAAGCGTATACCCGAAAAAGGGGGAGCTTCCCTTTTTCTTGGCCGGGGCCTGTGCGTTTTTCGGGGTTCATTGACACCCGGGGATGGCTTCGGGTATACACGCGCGCACACGCACCGCGCCTAGTGTAGCTTAGGACCCTCTCGGTTGCCGAAAAAAAGGCCCGGGGCGGCGCCGTATCGAGTGCGTATATATATATATATATATATGTTATAATCGCGCAGCCAAAATAATATAATCATAACAAATATGTATTATAAATATTAAAATAAACCGCAGATTCGCACACGACGCCCCGCCGTATGTGGGTCACGGATAATATAATAATAGTAATGTGTGTGTGTGTTTTTTATTTGTTTTAATTGCCGAGGCCTACACACGGCACGACGAAGGGGCGGAAGGAACGAGTAGGGGAAGGGAACACACACACACACACACAGACCCGTGGTGTACGGCGGCGGCCAAGATAATAATTGTAATAAACGTTTTGTTTATGTCGTTATCCGTCGTATTTCGGTAGCGTGGAATTGGAAATAATAATACATATTATTATATTCGATTTAATGTACCCCGAAAATAAAACAACAACACGTGTAACGATGTCCAGTGTGTGTCCGTAGCGCGGCGGCAGTACCACCGCGGTCGTTACCGACAGTATGTATAAACGGCGGCCACGGCGGCCGCGGCGGAGGCCGATAACAATATTGTTATTGTAATGAGAGTCCGATGCGGCGGCGGCGGCGGTGGCCGAGGTAGTGGTGGAGGCGGCGGTGTAGAAACGCGCGCGTTTAGTGCGTTATGCAACGGACCGGAGGAACGGTGGCGGGGAAAACATGCGTGTGTGTGTAACCTTTCCCAACGCGGCGGCGGCGGCGGCACGAGAAGCGGCGGCCGCGGCGGTCTCCTCTCGGGTTTGGTTGTGGAGGAGCCGGCCCGTCGTTTCGGACGGCCGGCCGAAACGACGGTCCGGCTCCTACACGTGTGTTCTCGGGCCGCCCGTACCCGCCGACCGCCGTCACCGACCTCGACAACGTGGCGGAGAGTGTGGAACGCATATAACTCCTGGCCGCCGCCGCCGCCGCCTCCACTCCCGCCTCCCGCGCGCCCGGCCGCCGAGGGCCATCGGTCTCTTTGGCGTTAGCGTAGAGTCGGGAGGACGAAGCCGCCGCCGACCGCCGCCGCCGCCGCCTCCTCCTCCTCGTTTACCTCCACAAGAAGACAGCGCGTTTATTAACGCCGCCGCCGTGTACTTTTAATAAAAAAAAAGATAATAGTTTTTGTTTAAGAAAAAACCACCCCGCCGCACGACACAGGTCCAAGAAGTACACGACAATAATATAAGATCTCCCTTTTGTACGAGAAAAAAAAAAAAAACACCGTCCGAGACTTTAACGTGCGACGCTCCCTTTTCCAAGTCTCGGAGGAAGCCGTTAAAAATTGTTTTAAAAAAAACTAAACTAAACTAGTATTTGTAAGAAACAAAAAAACACACCCGTCTAGAGAAGAAAGTCTTTGGAGCGCCGCCGCATTCAACGGTCTGTGGATTTCGCAATGCGCATATATTATTATTATGGTGGGTTTCTTTTTATTATTTTTTTTTTTTTTTAATGCTACTTCCAACGACCGACGCGGCACGTGTCGTGTCTGGCCCGGGACGAAAAACACAAGAATATTGTTGTACACACCGGCGAGGTCATCGCGGCCAAAAAAGTACCGAGAAAACAAGTATATATTTTTTCCAAAAAAAAAAAAAAAAACCACAAAAATATCAACGCCGGACGGCGATTAGATCAAAGGTCGTTTTACTACTTATACTCACTAGCTAAATACAACAAAATATCATATAGATTTTGTCGCGAGCAGTACAAGAAGAATAGGTGTAAAAAAGGGGTGGGAGCGAGACAGGGAGGGAGGTAGACTGTGATAAGGCGAGCGTTGAAGTAATAGCAGTGTTGAAAAGGCAGTGTACGAGTAGGAGAGGGGGAGTGAATTTTATATTCCAAGACATTTTCAACACAGAGAAAACGTAGAGATTTCAATATTACACTTGTATTACACATTACAAATTACACACGGAGATTAAATTAATGTATAATATATATATAAATATTTTTTTAATCACCGTACTTACTTATGTGTGATAAAAAAATACACAGTTACCCGCGTAAGTAGTCTATATAATATATATTACACAACCGCTGCAGTTTTCCAGCCCTGTCAAAATACACACGGTTTTAAACCCAAAACGGTGTTTTTTTTTTAAAAAAAAAACCCGTCCAACCGCGAATGTCTTAGACCAGGAAGCGACGAAGGCGTCTAGACGAATTGCACATAATAACAGGCGTTAAATAATGTTATATTTTTGTTTTTTCGATTTTGGTGCAAACCGAATCAAACAAAATGATTACAACTTATTTACAAGTTAATATATATTTGTTGAAACAAAATGTCGCTATGTTGTAATGTGTGTGCGTTAAGTTTATTAACCGCGGTCGAGCCACGTCATGGCACGGCTTTCGCCACCGCCGGTCACTACCTTTCTCTATCTTTTTTTCTTCTGATATATTGTGCCGTTATACCTATTATTGTGCTGCTACTTAAATACTACCCTAACAACGCGCAAAATAAAAAAAATTTACCCACGAGACGATAACCGCATCGAGAACAACAATAATAATGATGATAATACATGTGGGTGCGACAAACAACGGTTAGAGATGATGGTCGCCATTACACAAGTGTTCAACGATGATAATATTTAACGCTAAAAAATATTATAATATACTTGAACAACACAAATATATTATACACTGAGGGCCTCTTCCTGTAGTCGTCGATAGACAATAACCTCGGTCAATACACACACAACGGTTAGATATTATTGCTGTTAGTCTTCGGAGGGTGTACTCGACCGTCACTTCCCTTCCGTATTGTGTTAAACCGAAAAATACAGTTTTTTTTTCGATTTTACAACCCCCCTAACCCCCCGGGTTGGAAATCCTCACGGTACAGCGCACACACACACCAAATGGTGCGACGATGAGGTTGATGACCCGCATGAGACGCACACACACACACACACACCAGGCAAGGGATTTGGCCAGCACCTGCAGCACCCCAGCCCGCCTTTTACTTAAATCTGTTCTTGGACTCAAAACCCTTGGGGGGCAACCCTGGTGTAAAATACCCAACTGACTTACCTCGGAAACTTAACCCCAGACATTGTGTGGCAGCAGCCCCCTTAAGTCGCCCGCACCAGTTGGGTCAGGGGAAGGTGTTAAAAAAAAAAAAAAAATGTTTCAACCATAATATAACTATTATTTATTTATTTTTTAAACGTGTACTCACCACTTGATCTTCCGCTCGTCGACGAACAGAACAAAAATATTGAATAACAAAACTGGCAAAACTATTATATTAATTACTCGTCGCTCTGGCCGCGTTCCGACGCATAGTTCGACGATAGATTTTTTTATATAATATAATTTTATATTATATTGTACAGAAATTCGTTTAGAATTTAGTAATATAAAATAAAAACAAAACTATTTTTATTCGAAACTATATTGTACTAAAAGAATTACAGCTATCTAAAAAACCAACGGACGGGGTTGGCGAATTAAAATTTAAAAAAAAAACACAATATTTTTTTATTGCGGCGAAACAAAGACAAATAAACGATATTTTTCCAATCCGCACGGGAAAAATTG